GCATACGTTATACGTATTTATTTCTTACCCATCTACATATGCAGAAAGATTAGACACACAATCTGCAAAAAAAAAAAGATCTTTTCTATAGCCTGCCCTAAACTTAACATGAAAAAAACTATATCAATGCTTACCCTAATCCTAACTCTTAAAAAATGTGCACCAGAAATCAAACATATATATATACCTTGTTTAATATTTCTAGAACGTTCGTATATTAATTTGAAGTGTAGCATTAAAAATTTCATTACCACATTAATTTTTTTTTATTAATTTTATTTTTTTTACAAGATACAAGCAGACATAAATAAGCAAACACAGGAGTTTCATAGGGTTATACATTTCACCATCACTTATATTCCACTATCCTATTTACTGTACGTCCATAAATATGAACAATGAAATTTACAGTCATTGAGGCTCTGTAAGTCTTAGATAGAACTATTATAACACAGTATACAGTGCATTATGTTATAATAATCCTGCCAAATACTTACAGAGCTCTAGTAGCAAACACATAATAGTATTACAAAGCATATAATAAATTGCAATCGTTAATATACATAAACACCAGTAAACACAAACGCCAGTATACACAAAGATACATGCAAATGCTAATATACGCAAATGTTAGATGAAACATGCACAAGTAAAAATATCATGTCATACGATTAGGGCAATGAGATCTACGATGACCATCTTTACCACAATTTTCACATGTATAAGCATGTTTTTTCTTGCCTAAAGATGTGTTTTTATATATTAATTGAAGTATATAAAAAATATTTAAACCACTAATATAGTACCTTGAATTGATTGCTCCATATCCTCATTAACCATATCAACTTTCGTTCCTAATATTATTAGTCTAATTTATAGTATGTTTAATAAAAAGTCAATAAATATATATGTATTTACTTTGATCTTGACCTTGAACGTCTTGAATGTGTTCATGCATCATTTGGTCTTGTTCTTCAGTACCTTCAGTACTGTCAACATTAATTGATTCATTACTAATGTTAGAACTAGCCATCCTTACTAAATCATCATTCTGCAACACATTAGTTGTTTTCTTCAACACTTTTTTTCGTGCGCTATCATTGAATGCTGCTATACGTTTTTGATGCTTCCGTCCCTTTGTTTGTGGTTTTAGTAGATTATTGATTATTTCATAATTATACTCATCATCTGACTGCAAAACGCGTCCTTCCTGCTCTGCTAGTTGTTTTTCCATCTCATTGATGAACTGCTAATGTAATTTATAAAGCTCTTCAGTACGTTCAGTTTGGATTGCTAAATTCAAGGTTCTTTTCATAAGACCAAAACCTTTCCCATAGAGAGCACAACTTCTTATATGATGTTGTATCTTGGGTGTAAAAATGTATTGGCTACGAATCAAATCGATTAAAGAAAAGTCAACTTGGACATCATTCTCAAATGCACCAAATTTTCTCCCACTTCGAATTGAAATTGCACGTTCATTACTATAATCATCATTTTTTAGTATGGCTCAATCGTTAAACCAACATTTTGCTAGAATTCCAATATGAAATTGTGCTATTTTGCTTTCTAATAAAATGGCAAAAAAATGATGACATATAATACCACGATTCACAAGTGTTAAACATGTACACAAGTGACTTGCATTTCTAAAGAGAACAACGAAATGGTGCTTTTGTTGATCAATACGTGATACTATCCAAAGCTTTTTGATATCACCAATACCATCAACAAGTTTTGTTAATTCAATGAGCGTTTCATCATACAAATCTTCGCTAAACATGCCTTTAGGTGTATTCTAAATAAAATAAAAAATATTAAATAACTCAACTAACACACTAATTGGTCAAACTACAAGTTAAAAATTTGATAAAATTAACAAATAGATCAAACCCATTTGTTAATTTTATCAAATTTCTAACTTGTAGTTTGACCCATAAAAGACAATTTAAAGACAACAACCAAGCTCATGACTACTTTTAATATACCGGTTTATCAATATTTTCAACATGAGCTTGTTGTTGTAACTCAAACTCCAAATCTGTACGATAAGCTCGATAGTGGGGGCATTGATCCATTTGATTCCGCTGCAACTTTTGTATTGCCGGTATAAGAAATTTAGTGCAAGCCTCATCAATCGCCATAAAATAGTGATCTTGGTACGTTGCATGCATAACGCGTGGTAGCTCTCTATTAATCTTATTGAATCTCACAAACTGTGACTCCCTCATTAAATGCTGTTCGATTATGCTTACTACTTCTATTAATGAGGTTGTTCCATTAAGTGATTTCTTCAAAATCGCATTGTACACTTCAACTCTTTGAGTTGATTGAATACCACAATTAAAAGACCGATGTGTGAAAGCAAGAACCCATACTTCATGATGAGGATAAAGCTGACACCTTAGATAAGATTGTGTCTCAGGAAATAAATCCAAGACCTGTTGCCACTTTCTCTCATAAACAGTTTCAGTGGTGCTATTGCATGCCTGACAAAAACTTGAAAAGAAATCTCTAAACTTTTCTCTACCAAACTTAGAGAGAAAATATTTTTCAAGATTTT